AATCTGACTCAAAATGATCACTTTTTATTTCAATTTCAGTCACAAATCATCAGAATAATTCTTATTCTAGCAGAACAATATGGCTAAAACATTGACAACAATTACAGATTTCATTTTTTTTTTATTGCTATAAAGCCAGAGTTAATTGCTGAAGCCTAATCTCTTCTAGTCATTATCGTTAAGACCAGACAGAATCAACACTGCTCGCACTGGAGAGCTCTTTTGTGTACAAAACAATAGGAAGTGTCATATCATTGTTCCACTCTCCTTGCTGATGGTGCAAGCCTCTGCATCGAATCCTCATCTCCTGGTCTCCTGAGCGTTTTACATGCTTGAAATCATATGATCCAATATCTCCACCAGCTCTAACCGCAGTCAAGTACGTGGACATTCCGGAAAGTTGTTTTTCTACATTAGTTTCTCAGGAGACCTTATCAGAAAGCCTAATTGATTTCATTTTGGAGGGGAGAGAAAATATCCCAGTATGACAGCAACTCACCTGGTTTGTTTGTTCATATTGCGGAAACCATCAGATAAAAACGATATTGATACTTTTATGTTTTTTGGGAGAGTGGTCCAGGGTAGTCTACAGAGATGGGTTGAGGGCCCATTGCCCACCTGGTCATAGCTAAAACTGCCACTTGAGCAGACCGTCATTTCTTCCATCCGCTCGACTGAGGAATGGGAGAGGAAAAAGACCGCAAACCTATTAATAATAAGAGACGGATTAAGATTTTTTTTAGTGGATTAGAGATATTGAAAATCGAATAATTGCAAGATTGTCTTGATTCTTTGTCTATTGAAAGGGGTGAATATGTTTGTTTTAAATGTGTGTATTTTTTCCCCCATCACTAAAACAAAATTACTAGCCAGCTATGATAATGAAGTTTTTTAAACTTGCTTTGCAAAAAAAAGGTCTTTTTCTACATGTATGGTACAAGACTTCTTTCCTCTTAAGTCAGTTTGACATTAGAAGAGACCGCAGTTATTCCCCTTTATGCACTCTACATGAAGTGCTCTGCACTGATACCTATATGTATATATATTTTTTAAATGATAGATGAAAAGAGAAAACAGATTTTGATCAGCTGGATTCTTTGTGAAGAGAATTGACTTAAGAATATTTTTAAAAAAAAAAAAAAAGTCTTCAGACACTCCCAAAAATCATGAAAACTCTCACAATTGATAAAGAGTTTGCATGCTGACATGCTATAAATTTTCTGGACATTTGAAAATATTTTCAAGGATAGTTTTTTGAATTTGAAATTGAATGAACTCTCAGCGTAAATAAGGGAGACAGTGTTATTGCCAAATATTTAAACAGGATAAAAAGATGTTGGATCTGGGAGAAAGTATAATTATGGGTTATCGAAAGTGATATAATAGGAAATCATTTAAACCAAGTGACTTGGGGGTTTTCCAGACAAAGAAGTGTTTCATGATTGTTGTACTTTCAAAACATATGACCATTTTTACAGGAGGCCATTTTTTTTTTTCAAAAAAATAAAAAAGAAAATATCACCAAGATTTCATTGAGGCTTTAAATTTAATCTTTGTTAAAAAATAAAAGTCAGTTTTGAGAAATTCAAGAGCTCAATAAAACAGTCGCCACTGATCTGCAGTATCTGCCGCTAAAAGCATTACCTCTTGGGAACTGAATGCAAAAAATGACAATGGCAATGACTTTTATGAAAGATTCAAAATTATATCGTTGTATTGCTTTTTTCTTCGAATAGTGGTTACGGAGTAAGATATGATATCTACGTAAATCACCGAGCTAATTGATACAAGCAATAATATAATTGCGTGGGGTAGAGACCCTGTCTCTGCAATGTCATGTGGTTCCTCATAAACGTCAAAATTTTACGGTCAATTCTATGATATCCCAGGCTCCGCAAACCCTCAAAATATATTTCTCCCATAGATAATTCTCATAATTATATCCTGGGTAATTTCTTTTTATTTATGTGTTTGAAGATTTTATTTGAGAAAAAATATAATTTTATCTATGAGATTTTCATCAAACTTTAGAAATAGTGCTTTTCTCTTGGTGATAAGGGGGTCAAAGATGGATTTGGCTGTGTTCAAGTGTTTTAAACATTTGAGTGTTTTTCATCACATCGTTTTATAGTTATGTTTTTCAAAAATTTATGGCTTTTATTATTTTCTAGAAATTCTGTAATAACTTTCTTTATGTATTAAGACAGACACGTGATTTAGATGCCAGAAAGTCTTTTTTTTCAAATTTTGATTACTTTTTATATATATATAGGTGTACCTAGATCTACAGTATTTGTTATTATTTCTTGACCATCACAATATATGTATGTTCTGTTAAATTCATTAGGAAATTTTACTGTCAGAAGAGATGAAATATGCTCACCAAAAAAAAAAGATAAAAAAAAAAGACAAATAATAATAATAAAAAAAAAAACGATGAATCATTCATATATTGAACAGTATTTTCTATGAATTAATTTAAAAGAAACATGTTGCCATGATAATTTGTATGCCAATCCATTTATTTCCATTGTTAATTTAGAAATCAATTTTGGGCTAAAATAAAAGTCTTCACTTTTCCTGGTCATATGATGATGTCTGGTAACATGTGCTTAATATTAAGTAACTGTCTTTATACGAAAGCATCAATATCGTAACAGTATTGCACATGTGTATTGAAAGAGACAAATAATTTCTGGTCATTAGTTTCATAAAAGTTGTCACATTTCCTATAGAATTGTAAATTGTACATTGCTGTGCAAATAATGCAGTGTTGCAAATATGCAAAATGGTGCTCAAGTTCATTGTGGACATGTTTTTATTATTTAATTACTGTAATATTGATTCATTATTGGCTTAGAGTGGAGCCCAAGTCTTGATTAAGGGGAGATAAAAAGGAGAGATACAACTATGTAGATGGAAATATGTGGAAGGTGGAGGTATATATTCTAATTCATAGTATATCTGATAATAAAGAAAAAAGTGTAACATCTAAATTAGAGATTTGTAACTTAATACCCTGTTAGAAGTTGAAGAAAAAACAGATCTGTATACCTTTGATGTTGTGAAATGCTTATGACAACAAACATCTATAGTCAGTCATGCACAGGTGTCCAGCAAGTTAAGGGCTTCTCTTGAAACTTGACCAATCATGGTTTCAATTAAAAACAGTGTCCTAGCTGTATACCCTTTGCTAAGAGTACTAAAAGGAGAAATCTGATTACTGAGACAAGATAACACAGAAAAAAAAGTTTTTCTAAGTCCCAGTTTAGAGATTACATGAGAATTAATCTAGCCCCAGATACTTGTTAAGTATTTTGAAAAGTCCAAGTGGTTTTAGAATCAGGAGGCAAGTGCTGGTTTCTCATGGAAGTTGAGCCCCCCCCCCCCCCCCCCCAATAGATTAGATAACAATTAATTTTTCCTATCTGCAACACCTGAAATATTTTCACCTATCAAAAGTTCATAGTCATGTTTTGAGAGGAATTTGTTGTTTTTTCAAGTCTGCAAATCAGTCTTTATAGGATTGAGGTTTTATCTTGATGTCTTTGAGTATCATTGCTTTATCAAGGAATAAATACTTTTATTGTCATGTCCCCTACAATTTCATGGCTTCAGTTTGCTTCATGCAGAATGAAGATTTAATATATGCAGAAAAGTGATTTATATGTATTAGAAGGGGGGAAAATCGTATTAATAAAGCTAAAATTTCTCAAAGGAAAGGTTTTATTAGCATGCATACGGATAATGTTATCTGAAAATAATTTCTGATTTCGCTGGGTGCTGAGAATTTAAGAATTAAGAAAGAAAGTAAACAGATAAATTTGAATCTCAATACTTTCACCTAACATTTAAGTCTGAAAAGTAGATAAAAATTAATCGTAAAGTTTTCTAGATGATGTCTGGTATTTCTTTATTAAAAAAGTTAAATTCATTTACATTGTCTAAAGTATTTCATTTGATACCATGGTCCGACAGCTCGCTTTCAGGGAAACAGAATTTATGATCTTCCTACGAAACAGGCTAGACTACAGCACTGCACACATAAGCATATTAATGTGTATTCCAACAATATGCACTCGTGAAAACTTAATCCCTGGGATTAAGCAAACACAGGATGACTTCACTTCTTGAGGATTAAAAGCGAGAAAACTTTAAGATTAAGATGTGAACATTGGGGTTAATTGAAACTAAAAGTAAATTTAATTTCAAGTCTTAAAGGCAAGGTCCTGGGTTAGGGATTTAAACAGAATAGTTATTTCGTACCTCCACTCGGAAACCATTCACGAGTTAGCTTGCGTTCCCACAATGGGAGGATTGCGATGTAGTCTAGAAGTCAACTTATTTTGTCTCCAAGTTTTTATTTTGTATAACTAAGCAGTAATTTCGTGTGCAAGCATGAAGTAAATCTCTTTTATTTTATTTTTTTTTATTTTTACCTGTTGAAACACACAATTAACCCTGAGCAGCTTGTCAGCTGATTTGATTGGTTGAAGAGGGAGTGTGCATTGCATTTCGATTGAATTGTTGCCCCCATCAGTGTATCGTTTCACCTGAGGCTTAACTAATGAAGGCGATATCTGGCTCCTCCCCCTTGATTCATCTTCCCTTGATACTGAAGATGATTAACCCACAAACAGATAAGATAGAAAATTTATAATAAAAAAAAATCAATTAGCATATCTTTAATAACATTTATTAATTAAAATTATTTATTTCATTTCAGAATAAATTTTTTAGTTCAAATTTTTTTTGATTTTTTTCATTAATTTATTGATTTGATGTTGGGCCAGTCTGTAACTTTTTTTTTGCATGAAGTGGAATGGTCCTAGAGAAGAAGCCATGATAATTAGCTCTTGTGACCAGGTAAAAACATTGCATTGATAACTATAGGGGCTGTCTGTCAGTATCACACCTGAAGAAAACTATCTGTGTCGGAGTGTCAATCACTGGTATTGCTAATGTCTCTCCGTTAAACATACCTGGATTATCTGAGTCGAGAAATTTGTTGTATTAATATCTCATTCTGTCGAGAAGGCAACCTGAGTATTTTGCTGTAAACTGGTTGCACTCACTAAACTGTTTAACTTCTGCAACAACTAAAGAATGCTTTTTACCAAAGACCCAAGAAGATTTCGAAGTGAGTTATTTTAAAAATATTTTTCATGTTCAATTTTTAATTTTTTTTACAATTAATTTAATTTTTTAAAATTCATTTTCTTTAAATTACTCTTTTTGGAAAATTTTAATTACTTTTGTTTTTAAATTGTGGAAAAAATCTATAATTGACTTTTTTTCAAAGATCGATTGAAAGGAAAATAACTATAGTTAATTGAAACTTTAAACTTGGTTGAGCAAATTTTTAATTAACTGAAAATTTAAATACCCTGAAATGTACAGTTACACAAAGAAGGAAATGTATATTGGCTGAAATGTGATGTGTAATTTACAAAGGAGACTGATGCAATATTTTTCTCTTTAATGAGTAAATTTTTGATTAATTTCTTTATATCAATGCATGCTTGTCTTATATTATTTAACACACATTTAATTATTAGCACAAATTCTTTAAATCAAATAAAAACAAGCATTGTTTTAAAAACTGAAACAATTAAACTAAATGCAAGTAATTTTATAGACATTTAAATTTAAGTTGAAAAGTTAAAATATTTAACATCATGATATACATAAAATTTTCTTTCCTGAAGCATACAATTTCCATTGAGAATGAATTATAAACTTAATGCATTTGTTAATGTATGCAATATAATATAAAAGCTATTTCATTTTAAGTACTAAGCTAAACCAATTATAATATGCATCTGCATCTATTACATATATAAGTAATATACTGTGGTACTTTAGACATTTCATTAATCTGCAGATCTATACATTTACACTTTTTTTTTTATCTGTGAAACAAACATGTGATTTTTATTATCAAGTTTAAGTCCTATAATTATGATAGGGGTGACTGACAAACTGTTTTAGGGCCTATGGTTGGTTCAGACATATTATCTTAACCAACAGATAAAGGGTTTCATTCAACTTTCCCATTCATGTAAAAGATAACCAGGTGTCCTATTTAAACTTTGTAATCAATTTTTACAATTTTGAAAATTAGCATTTCTTCAGGTAAATCTGCCATAATAATCAAATTAAAAATGAAATTTGACTACAAATTCAGGGTATGAAATATTTATCTTCACTTTAAAATTTTTACCCACCCCCTCCACCTTCTCTCTCTCTCTGCTAGAAGTTATGCAAAGAAGATGGAGAATTATCTTTGAGATATTTTCTTTAATCTGACCATTGAAATGGAAAAAAAATAAAACATCTCTTTCCGACAATCTGTTACCGCAGCAATCATTCAGAGCAAAAATGAAGGTGATGATTATCTTATTTTCCCCTCTATAGACTGACAGAGAAGGTTAACATGTTCTCTCCATTTCATCTTAATGATTTATAGGGAACCTTAACAGTCCCAGTAACTGTATTGAAATTTAAAGCCCCCCATCTCACTAATGAGTCTAACAGTTGTTGAACTAATAATAACTTCCATCGTTGAAAAAACACATTTTTATTTATTTTTTTCTGCTTGTGCATATAAAGGTAGGAGAGCTGTTACACTGCACTCAGACAATAATTTCTATGAAAAAACATTTTTTCTCCTTTTTATTAATTTATTTGTCAATTTAAAAAAAGTATAGATGGAGAAATGTGTTACCCAAAATATTGACAGAAAAGAAAAATGCTTTCTGTATAATTATGAATTGTTGCTCACTGATAGTGAATCAATTTTTTGATGCACCAGTTTGGCTTTATTCAAAAGGGTTTTGTATATTTCTTTCTCCCAGTCAATAAATGATCATTATAAAATGTGTGAAATTGGTGGTGAAATTATTTGGTTTTTCAAGAAGTAATATGAGCTAATCAAAATCATATTTAGGATTCTTAAATAAAGATAAAACAACTTTTTTTATATTAAACAACATGTAAAGGTTTCCAAAAAGGTGAAACGATCACATAAATGAGAGAAACATTGAGGCGGGAGTGTGACCTTCATGAATCATACTTCCTCCTTATGAAATATATCAAAAATAAATTCACTCTGATTTTAGGGGAGATAACTTGTGTTTTTACAAAGTAGATTGAGAGTCGTTTGAAGTAAGAGTTCTTGTAGATGTAAAGAGATCACACAATGCACTTTAATTCTGTTTTGTATGTGCAGTATTTATTGCACATACAAATGCAATGTTAATACTTGAGCCCCCATAATCTCTTTTTCACTCATGATAAAAAAAAGTTGTTTTTTTTATCATAAAAAGTGAAAAGATTGTTGAAACAGTGGGGTTTCCTTGCCATGCAAAGCTGACATTTTCTATTTTGAAACAAGTAGATATGAGCATTCAAAGTGTTTATTTTTGTTTCATGTTCATTAAATCTTTAACTCCAAAAAGATAATACATATCTGATAAGTGTTACAACCTATTTCGTTCTATTTACTACGAAATTTTGTTTTTCACCACCACCCCGCCGAGCTGCTGGAGCGATATCATCCCCGAGATCGTGCTAAACCATTTGCTCATCCGTTTCAAATATATTTATTAAATTTATAATCTTGTCATAGTATAGACCTGTTAAATCAAGCCAAGACACAGGGCCTCATTAAATCAGCTCTTGTAAACTTCACTATCATCCTTTTTTTTAAAGCAGGCGTCACTTTGCGATGTCTGAACGAGAGGAAAAAAACGCCACAATGCTTTAAACAGGATCTAGACTGCCGTTTAAACTCACTTCCCCCTGGACTCACCCCCCAGGGAACCGAGAGATAATGAATGAAAAATTATGCTTTTATAGATAATGAATGAAATATCGCAGCACTTGACACTTTAATATGGAACACCTCTAGTCATCAGTCTTCTTTTAGCAACCACTGATAGGAGCGAGAAAGGGGGGGGGGGATATGTTGAAAGTCCATGCGCACTTCATTTTTGCTACTGTCTAGAGAGAGAGTTATCCCTGTCAAAAGGCAGATGTCGAAACATGTTGGGAGAAGTTGTCTTGTCTGTCTTGTTTGTTTTCTGATAAAACAAGTACTTTTCCCTGTGTTGTGTGATAAGTCTACCCGCCTGTACCAAATTCAGCAAGGCCTTGAGGACTTCTTCAGTCATTACAGATAGGGAAACTGACCAGGTTTCGAGTGTTTTGGTGAAGTTTGTACCTTTTGGAGGACAAACTTCCACAGTAGTTATCAAATTTTAGGGAGAAAAACTGATAAAACTTTCATAATTTGACAGGGTTTAAATTTTGATACTCAAGATTATACAACATGAAGATCTTGCGTTTTCCCAGTCATTCAAATTTCATACACAATGAGTGTCACATTATGATAGGCCTTTCCTCTAAATCTTTGCCGCTCTTTTTATCATCATTTCTTGATATGATGAATTTGAAACCAGACTGGTCCTTTCAAATACTGATGGTTCAAATCTAGCTTAAAGAAACCAACACTGGAGTATGAAAGAGAAACTTACTTACTGTAGAAAGTTATTAAATTTTTATTTAATGCTGCCATCTAGCAATACTTAATGTAACTCCATCAAAGTATAAAATAAGTAGATTAAGTATTGACTACTAAAAAAACTCTACTGGGGAACATTGAGATTTGAACCAGAAATCAGGCTTGGAAAGGGGGGAGGGGGTATTCCAACTCTTTATGTACCGAGTATAATTTGAAATTCTACTTTGGAACATTAAGAGCTGGGCCAACGTCAGCTTGGGCATATTGAGTTTTCCCTTTCTTTCTGCACTAAATATATTTTTTGTTTTTGAAACTTTTTAAATCTCAACTGTACATTGAAAGTTGACCAAAAACAAACTTGGCGGTGGTGGGGTTGGAGAAGGGGGGGGGGGGGTATTCCTACTCTTTATGTACCAAGTGTAATTTGAAATTCTACTTTGGAACATTAAAAGCTTGGCTAAAGTCAGAGTTTGGGATATAGGGCTTTCCGTCTCCTTCTGTACCAAGTATTAAATTTCAACTTTTTAATTTCATCACAGATTTAGAGGAATGCTGGGACAGCTCTAACCTAAAGGAAGATGAGTTTGAAGAATTTTGTGTTTACATTGTTCATGACCGAGCATGCGAGCGAGTGTGTCCAAACAGGGCTCAAGCATCCCTACCCAGGAACTTGACCCTGAAACCCTCACAAAACCAAGTCAACAATGTGAGTACCTTTAAATACATATATAATCCATGTGAGTGTTGACAATAGATGCCAATTCTTGTCTCTTAAAAAGAAAGTTCCTCTGTTTTCAGTATTCATTGATTTGACCTTAATTGAGTTGAAGGTTTGTGAACAAATGTGAGGCGATACCAAGCTCTGAGCTAGGTCTTGCCCAATTTGATGCAATGACTGGGAATACTTTGTTCATTTTAATCTCGAGTCTGTGAATGTAAACCAGTATAAACTGACAGAGAAATATCAATTTGTTTTCTTTTGTATCTGGCTTTTATTTTTTCTTCTAAGGGTTTATTTGATAGATAGGAGAGGGAAATATTTCTTTTTTTTAGATCTCATTCAATTCACTTGGCCTGGGCATGTCTTTTGAATCTTTAACTTTCAATTTATAATTATATGTTTATTTAGAGTTAAGAAAGTTGTGGAAATAGTTTAAGGGTACCTGGCCTGTTGCTCATGTTTGAAAGTGTTTTTTGAAGTTTTCTTATTGATACTTGACAATTTTGTACTGCTATTGTGTGCTTTACATTTTGAATACATAACAAAACACATACACCTATTTTGTAAAGAAAATAGTGAAAATTATAGACATTTCTCTAAAATTACAGCCCTTGTCTTCTTTTTTTTTCATGGGGGGGCAGACTTGGGAAATTGTGATGAAAAAGGAAACTCTTTTCTTGTTTAAATTCCTTTACATTATAGAAGACGGAAATATAAAGCTAAAGAAAAAGCTTTTTGCTGTTAAAAGGGACATCTTTAGATTGGAATATCAAAGTCTTGTTAAAAAACGGGAGTGTGTGTGTAAGAGTATTGTGAACAAACTGAAAAAGGCCCCAAACGGACTACATTCAACTCTTTGAGAAGTTTTCATAAAAAACTTGTGAGAAAGCAAGATCTGTCTTTAGCTTCAAAGAAAAACTGTGTATTTGACAGCTGTATCCGTTGTTTTTATATTGTGTGCATACTTTTGATTGTTCGTCTTTCTCCCGCTAAGAAAGCCTTTTGTACTATGCATGTTGTCTTCCCTTTATTGGGCAAGTTTTTTTTTTCAAACTTTAAAAAAAAAAAATAGTACAATCACAAGTTGTCTGGAAAATGGCGATAAAGAATATCACTGGTTTTACAAAAAGGGGGCCAAAGTTCCCCCAAGCATCTTTGAGAAAATCAAGTTGATACACTATGGAAAAAAAACATTCTGAGATCTTCAGAGTTTTCTCAACCATCAAAAACCTTTCTCTACTCAAAAAAGATACATCTCCATATATTATAGTAGCATGTGATATTTTTGTAACCGTTTACTCAACAATTCTTTGTTACATGCATAATACAAACATAATGTATTTATTTTGATAGAAAGTTGATCATTTCATGTAAAAATTCTCGAGTAATCCCAAAGCCTTATAGAATAGAGAGGCTTATTATAAACTCATTATGTGAGATCTATTGCAGCTCTTCAAAGATACCATTCACTTAAACACACCTTTCTAAAGCAATTTCTTTTCTGTTTTTTTCTCTCAATTTCTTCTAAGCACCTAACACTTTTTCTCTAAATTTGTTTCTGATTAAAATGGTATTTAGTGTGAATGAAATTTCATCAAGTCTGTTCAATAGGAAAGATAATGATCTTCACTTGTAGTTAATAGACAAGAGTAGACTGCAATGTAAATAATTCTTTGGCCAGCCTTTAAGAGAGATACTTCTATTCTGTTCTTGGGTTTCTTTTGAAAAATATATTAATTACTTTAAACTCATTTCAATGAACTCGTTACTTTTGAAGCAAGTCCACCACAACATGAAATCCTTGGTCAGAGTTTAGACAGATTTAGATAAAAAAATTAGCTGTGAATTTCAAAGTAATTTGAAAATAGATTGTAAATCAATCAAAGCTTAGATTTTGGGAAGATGGAAATTTTAAAGTGTTAATGAGAGAAGGAAAATATATGTATATGTAAAATACAAATACATTATATACATTACAATTCTATTCTGTGTTTCAAAACATTTTAAATCAGTGAATTATTTATATAACTTAATTTATTTTTTAGTTAATCCTTATTATTATTTTAACCAATACCAAGTGTATTTTTTTGAAAAAAAAAAGTTGACCAGTCAATATTGGTTAATTAGTTATACTTAAATTACAGTAATGTCATCATTAAACTTTTTTCAAACTGAATTTATAGAGGTACGATCTTGCAGAATTTCTTCGATTGTAATTACTTTTTGTGATAAATTGCATCACCATTCTGATTGGTAACATTTTGATTTTCTAGGTTATAGCACTGCTTTGTTTATAATGGCCACGTGGCACTTGCTTTAAGCTTACAGACATACATAAAAAATATGTTCACAACTATTCAGATCTTCATACCAACCTAAATAAGTTACTGAAAAAACCCTCAACTTTCAATTTTCTTTTGGGATTATCCAATGAAGCCAACTATCTGTTTGCTCCAACCAAAGGATTACTTCCCTTAGATGTGGGATTATAATCTGATCCTAAATTTCCGTAAATACAGACAGATGGGTCGGGGGTTTAATTCAGATATTAGCTGGTGGAATTGTTAATGATGATGAATGCTGGCCATATTTAAAAAAAAAGAAATTAAGTTTTGAATACAGCAACTTTTATCACCTCTTCAAAACTGGAGCCAAAACCAAAGGGGGGAGGGAAATGTGTTTGATGCTTTTGCATTCAGCGTAAGTAAATAGAATTAGTGAATTATGGGGGATGTAAGACTGATCTCAGAGATTTGAGGCTCCGATAAACGAGATAAGCCTGCATGATACAGAGTCAATTACACACTTTTACGAATCTAAATTTGACTTTTTTCGTCATATTTTTGCATGTAAAATTTTTCAGTTTTCATGTTAGATATTCTATCTAAGATACTGAAGTGCGAATCCAAGTGATATGAAATAGGTAATTTGAATTTCTAATCATTTTTAAACGGTTGTTTCAGTGTTACTCTATCTGCATACAAAGTTCAAATAGTCAAAAAATGTTGCTGAGTTATGTCTTGTAGATTTTATAAAGCTCAGATTTTATATGTTTAGATACCAATTCATTAGATTTTCCCAGTATTGACTAACAGTTTACAAACTTTCTCTCTTATCTACTATTGCTTAATTCCAGTCAATATTAGATCCATTAAAGTGGGGGAATATTGTGTGAAAACTGTCTTGACATTCCTGCAGATAGAAAGCAAATCCTTGGATATATCAGATGCGTAGAAAGAAAATCCGCCGAATTATGACATTGTTTTCCCCTCCATGTCACTCTCTATCAAGAAAGTGATAGTGTAATCCATGATTATCGCAGAAAGGTGTCTCAAATCTTGCTAGTTTATCGATCTCTCACACACTGCCTTTTGTTTGTCAATAACATTTCGTTCATTCCAAATTCTGAAATTATAGACCTCTGTGAAGAGACTGTATCCATGAAAGAAAGAAATGGCATTGGAATAGACAGCACGAAATCAGTTTGTCTAGATGATTCATATTTATTCAATCGAACAGTAAAGTTTACCCAGATTATGATCAAACTGTGAAATCAAATTCATTCGATTTTAGACTGCAATAACAAATTGACCTTTATGGAGAAAGAAAAGAATTCTTTTGTCAAATAATTTTCACTTTAATATTAATTCACTGGGAAAAAATTTCCACGTTTCCTTATTCATTGTTGCCTTTTAAAGAGATAAAAATCTTCAAAATTATCTAATTAACAGCATTTTCATTTGCCTATTTTCTCCCAGGAAAAATGTTAACTTTTTTAAAGAAATTGTAGATAATGCTTTATCTCTTTAAAGTCATTTCTCAGTGACTATTCATTGTCACTTTTTGGTTAGACAGTGTTGTTCCCATAATGAGATCACGACATTTAATCCGCTTTGTAGATTATCTTGTATACCATCACACTTCCATCATGAGAAAATGATAGTTGTGTGTCTATAGAATGCTGTGGTTTTTACTTGGGAAATTTTGGTACAAAATATTTAGAGTTTTAACCTTATAGAATTCAAAATGTTAACACTATAGCAAAATTTCACTTAAATATAAAGTAAGCAATTAAAGATGCATAAAAAATATGAATGAAAATTTAAAGATTAATTCCATGAGAACTATTATTTTCATGTTTTCATTTTTTTTTTCTACATTTTAAAATTGGAAAAAAAATATTTCTAATAAATACCTTCTTTTATTTATACAAAAAATTCAGAGACTCTGGGGGTACAGCGTTGGCAATGACAGTACAGATATAGTAATTTTATCAATAATAGCAGTCTCCCCTAAAATTTGAAATTGAAACAAATCACAAAGCATCACAGCAACAAACAAATGTAGTTCTCTACAGCAAATCAAAGAAAAAAATAATTTGAAGACAGGAAGATGGTCTAAATGGGGACCCATGATGTCGAGAAACTTGCAGACAAAATTCTAAAACCATTCATATATGAAATTGAAATTTTTCGTAAATTTTCATTTTAAATCAAATTTTTAGAAATGCCAAAAAAGACTTTGTTTGCATTCTTCAAAGAAGGAGGTATTTTTCTTGCAGTCTGTTGTCATAAAAAAGTGCAACTGTGTAATTTGTGTCCAGCCAAACAAATTAACAAGTTTTGTACATATAGGTGTAATAAGATGGATCACACTTTGTGTATTTTATTATTTCCTTTCATTTCAAATGGCCTCTTCTTATTGCTGAAGTCAAATTTTAAAATTCATCAATTTATTACAAGGACTACATTTTTCCTGGCAGACTATTGATAAATGGCTGGGTATAAGGTGAAAAAAATGTTGTGATTTCCATTTTGATTTTTCTCTCTGTGATTATAACTTTCAATTGCTGTGAAATATCACCAGCTTCGTTTTACCTGCAATTACGTCAAAAATTAGCCGACCAGATAAATTGTATCCATTGAATGACTCTCTTGTTAAGACCGTTTTTCTATCCTCCCATCGTGTCAATCATTGACGCCCCTTGTAATGGCTAATTGTCCCACCAGCGACTTAAAGTCAATTTTCTCTCTAAAAAAGTTTTGTCAATTCTTCCGATGTGCATTAATGCTGTCCTTCGAAAAGCGTAATTTTCTTATTTTGATGCCCCTTGACTTTCTCCCGTGTCTGTATTTATCATGGTTTGAAAAATTAAATTATTTTAAATTTGACTGGCTTGAACATCATATAACTGCATCTTTTGTCATTTTCCACAAAGGAAAAGATATAGGTTTTCACCAGAAAATTGAACCTGTCAAATGAAAAAGGTTATTTGAATACAGGAACTAATGTTAAATATTTAAATTATGACCATCTTTTCCATACAATGAGTGTTAAGTTACTGAAATTAGGGTCATATGTATTGAATTTAATCATAACAGCTAATTTGCATATAAAAGTGAAAGGTGTGGCAAAATACAAGACTCGGAGTTTTCAGTATGCAAAAAGATATCGCTCAATCTCCCCCCTATCATTCTGAAAGTAAAATAAGCAGGAGAGGAAGGTCAGTTTTTTCTTTTACTGTTCTGTTTATGAAGATTACCAACTTTTGAAGATGCAAATCGAAAGAATTATAAGTGGGTATTTAAGCAATAGGAAATGAAATTCAAAACTAGGGTGAACAGTCAGTGGTTATCTGTATAGAGGAACCAAACGGTGAATTTTTACTGCTGCGTGACTCTATGGTCATTTCACGGATAAGAAATTTCAGTGTGAATTTTATAGCTAATCCTGCAGGTCAGTGTTATCTTGGAAACATTTATGAATGAAAGATCAGAAATGATGCATGGCAGCTATTAAAAGCTCATCCGTGATCAATTTGTAGACAAGGCTATTTTGCAGGTTTCTTCTGCCTAAACATTAATCAAATGCATGTATCTTGATAAAGAAGAATTTTTAAAAAATGATTTTTTTTTTAATCTCAAATAAATAATTTTTTTTCCTGTCAAATGAGAATGCCTGTTGAACTTTAGCCTTGTTGAATTGAATGTAGTGGTAATCATCCGATGCATTGATGTAAAAAAGAATCAAAAAAGAATTACGTCCCTGCTTTAGTTTAATTTTATTGGTTGTTAGAAGACTTGCACATGCATAGGAGTCCTTGATAATGAAGTTTCAGAATTAATTAAGCCTTAACATAAGAAGTGAGTAGAAGAAATCTAGTAAATGTTTTCATAAGGAAAAAATATCATTTGCAGATTTGCAGGTGTGAGAAGATGGTCTAGATAGTTGACAGAATTTTCACTTTTCAAGTATTATCGAATTAATTAAATCGTCCACTGCATTGTGAAGTGGCTTTTCAGCCCCTGCTTTTTGACGAGTGTGTTGACAGCTTTGAAAGTCTCTTTGAAGAGTGAAGACTCATTCACTTTCCATAGCCCCCAATGACTGATTTTCTAACTAGGGGAACACTTTTGGCTTTCATGAAGTAGGGGCTTTTGAAATAAGTGTGGTTTCTTTTCCTGTACTCAGTTTCTGCGATAAAAAACCCAGCCCAGATTTCTTCTCATCCTTGGTTAATTGCTTGGTCCTGATTTTGTGTCTTTAAGTTGTATGTGTGCATTTTTACCGTTTCACCTGAAATTCAAGTGAGTAGTTCATTATTATTTTTAAGAAATACTATCACCCCCCTGTAAAGAAATTTCTAGTGATTTGGGATATTTGTATAGATATGATCAACCATTGGATTCATGTGTGTCCTTTAAAAAAATGCATGCATGTACAAAGATGTGTTTTGAATTAACATTCATATTTATTTATAATTAAAAAAAGATCTTATATTTAGTGAAAAATCAAGAAATATTTCCTTAACTGTGTAGATATATGTTCATGAAGGTTATGAGTCAATTATGAATTTATGACTCCCACTTCTTAGTAATTGCATGGGATGTTCATTCATGAGTTTTAAAAAAACATAACAGCTTTGGGCTCATCTGAGGGTTTTAAACTCCAAAGACAGGGGAACACCTTGATCCCCCAGAAAACCACCCACCTCTTAATTCTGCGCTTGATCACGGTCATCCCTTGATGGGAACAAATTTGGCGATGATGATCAGTGAATGAATCTCTTAGAACATCAATCGTCTGCAGAGGAGATTTTCATTGGATAAACACTTGTCGATTTGACAGCTGTACATACTTCTGTAAGTTCAACTGATGGGCCTCCTTCAAACTTTTCATTTTCCTCTGCCTGTATCATGAGATTTCCTTTTTTACACACCCCCTGGGCTGTCATATCAGGGAAACAGAGCTGCTGAACTTACGAGGGTCACTAAAGGCATCGAAATATTAGATGTAATTTTTACTGACGACTCCGCTCGTAGGAGCTGTGTATATATGTATATATAAAAAATCCCTGTCTTTGCTATCTCCAGAGAATTGGTAGGGGGTCCAATCTATAATTTATATCTCTACCTTCGCCGGTTTAAAACTAGAGGATCTTTAGCCTTTTTCTTCATTAATACAAAATCTGTGATAGAAGGAAAAAGTTCTTGTCATTTCTTTAAAAAAAAAAAAAGAAGAGTAGATTCATAATTCGGTGTAAAGCTTGGCTTGATAGCAGACTGTGTGTTTTGAGAATATTATAAAGGTAATATTTCCTGTTTTTTGCCACTTGACTGAAGACTGTTGTTGTTTTGATTGTTGTGAAAAACAAATATTGACTTTATTGAATATGAAATTTTTGATTTTTGGTCATTTCCTGGTGATTTACTTTTTTTCGGTTTCTTTTTCCTCCAGGGTTTGGGAGTGTGGAGTCTTGACTATATACCCAGGGGAACGAGGTTTGGACCCCTTGTCGGAGAAGTGTTTTCCCGCGAGCCATTCTCTAGAAAAGACTCGGACAGAATTTCTCTTTGGAAGGTAAATATAATTTTTATTACACAGTAGAGTTATAATTTATTTTCTCAGTCAAAAAACACTTATTGTGTTAAGTCAAAGTCTTAAAACTTGAATGGTTGAATGTTGGAAATAGTTTGTACGAAGGTAAATGAATTTGTTACAGTGTTCTCTTAATTGTGTAGTATTCCAGCTTTCTATTGAAATATTGGTTGACAATAACTTTGTTTTATTCTTTAATTTAAGTTTTGTTGATTGTTTTTTTTAATTTAATACATATTACTTCAAGGTTACTTTACTAAGATTGTCCGATGGAAAAAAGCATAATGCACCAGGTTTTTAGAAAAAAAAATTAAATATAAAAAAACCAAAACATTTATCTCTAATTATTAGCTTGCAGGTACCCTATGAAGGGTTTTTTTTTTTTAAACTTTCTATCATAAATTAAGTTATATGAGAATCACATGAAAAATGTCCCTAGGCCTAATTTTTTTGTAAATTGCTTTTGTGTAGTTTGGGTAAAGTAGGAAGGATTTATTGTTACTGTGCATGTATCATGTCATCAAAGAAAGTAAAAATTGTCAATTTTAATTAAAATTCTCCCCAAGTGAGAGTGGTAGAGAGTGCATTTGAAAGTTGTGATTTGCTTCTACCAGTACCGTCTTTCAAAGTGGGCACCTATCAAGAGCCCAGATAAACATCTGTACGGCAATAATATCGTATATTTGGGTTATTTTATATCTTTTATTTTCGCCTTTAGGTAATTTAGATACCGCGTATCTGTTTGCAGATGTATTTTACTTTCATTTGATCCCGAGCATTATAGGCATCTCAGATAACCAGAAAAGTTAAGCTGTATCAATTTTATTATTGTCCTCCTTGTACTTAATACCTTCATTCCAGATTCGTATGGCAAGGTTTTTAAACTGGAAAAACGCAAAAGTAAATGTTTTAAACCACATGTAAGGTTTTTTTTGCCAGCTCTTCTAGCAGATTAATTTCATTTAAAAATCGTCATGACTTTCTATCTTTAATTTTTTCAAACAGAGTCGAGATACATAAACGAGATAATATGGGATTTACTTTCAGATAGGGGATCCCACGTTGATAAAGGTTCAGTGGTCGTGTTTCGTATTTGGGGAGAAATCTTTGCATTTAGACACCCCACTTTATAGTCTTGTTGGAAAGAGTATATAAAAATATGAAATCCGAGAGAAGGTTTTTCTTTTCGATGATGTCATTTTGCAAGTACGAACAATATTATTTCTGATATTAATCTCTTTTATGACTGAAAGTAAAACGGCAGGAAAAATATCTGAGGTATGTCCATATGGTTTGCTTTATGTTTTTCAAGTGATGACTTTAGAATTACCTATTTGTATTGCAGCTCTAGAGAAAGAGATATTTTATCAAAACATGTGTTTCAATTTAAACTTATCTCTCAGATTTGGTACCCAGTTTTAAAAAAAAAAACTGTAAAAAGATAAATTTCAATTGACACACTATCTGTGAAAGATCCAAGGCATTTGGGATTTCTATTCGTAATGTGTTGACATTTAAATCATTTTAGCAGGAAATTGTCTGTAACATATACTCAAATATGAAAAGTTGAATTATGATTAATGTATATTTCTTTCACCATATTTTAAAAAACTTATCTTTCAATATGTTGTCATTTCACTTTATTCATCTTGAAAGTTTGATAAAAAAAAATAATATTGACGTTTTCTCCATTCATCAAGAGCAATATTCATTTTGCTCTTAAAAGTGATTGTAGCCAAAAAATACATTTATAATCACCATGTTAAAAACAGTTCCAGTATGATAAGTGTTTAAATTTAAATAAAAAAATATTTTTTTGTGGAGAAAGGGGAGATAAAAAGGCATTATCTCTCAAGATAATATTGCTAATATCATTCTAGAGTTGTAAATTTTGAATTTCTATGTTCACCAACTGTATGTGCTCGGAACTCCCCTGTGGACACGATTTGCGTTCTGTACTCAGATATACAATTTTTTGTCTGACAAAAAAATAATTCATTGAAAAAAAGCCTTATCAATTCATTTTGGTAATGTTATATATATCTATATTTCTGTCAAAGTGACACACGTTTTATAGTAGCTGAACATTACCATTGCATTTAGATCGGGGCGATATCGGGATAATAACTCACTCCGAGCGCCTTACTTCCTGGACCCCCTAACGCAACTCAAAATGACACCCAGACTATTTCAGTATTACGAGTTATATTTAATTTGATCATTAAACAAATATTTTTTAGCCTCTTGGTTTCCGCACATCCCATTTCATTGATAAAATTTTAACATAGATTTTCTTCCTAATTTGTCTGCTAACATTATTGTCAGTCTTCTTAGTTCTCAATGCATAATAGACTAGGGTTTTTTTTGGAGGGTATTTTTGAAAGAATATTTCCCACTGCTATTTATAAGTTTATTAACTTTATTTGTTTGTATTTCTTACAAAATCCTTGATATTTTCATAAAGATGTACTGTATTTTATATTCTTTAAATTTATTATAATAATTTTTTTTTTTGGAAATAAAATTTGTATTTTATGTAAAAAGAAATTTTTCCTCTTCCTCAAAATTTTTATTTAAAAGCTGAAATTGATTTTATTTTTTAGGTTTTCAAAAATAACAATGTCTACCAATTTCTGGACAATAGTGATGTAACTCGTAGTAACTGGATGCATTACACCAACTTTGCGTACACCGCAGCCCAGCAGAACTTAATTGCGTGTCAAATCGACTTCAACATATACTTCTACACAACCAAGCCGATCCCCCCAAACACAGAACTGATGGTGTGGTACTGCAGGGAGTATGCTGACCGTCTCAACTGTCCCCTCACAGGGGAGGAAATGCTCCAGAACTGGAGTAAGTACTAATTACCTCACTTTTTGGACTTCAAAGCCTTTTTGCTGTGAAATTTGACAATATTTAGGTTTAAAACAGATTACTGATGAATATTGAACTTTTGAAGAAAAAAAATACTGAAGTTTTGAGGATTTTATTTTGTTATATATGTATTGATAGAATTTATTTAATAATAGTTTTTCAATTAAAGTAGTATACCAATATATATCTATACATACAGCTTCCAAACTCTTCTTTTCTAAAAAGGTAATTGAATGAATAAATAAATAAATCCCTGGAATTATCAAATAATGTAGTCTATTAGACAGCACATTTTTGAACTATATGTATACCCCACCCCCCAATCACCACCAATGAGAGTTAATTTTTCAATTAATTATTTTATGAAAGATACACTACATAATCCTATAAGTTTTTTTTTTTTTGGGGGGGGGGGGGGAGGGGGGGGGCATGAATGGAATTTCTTAGAAGTAATTTATTTTATACTTAGTCAGGAATTAAATAATCATTATCACCATGTTTATATATATATATATATATATATATATATATATATATATATATATATGTATATGTATATATATATATATATATTAAAATTGAAATATCAGCTAAGGATCTGAGTACATTGTCATCATTTTTATTTAGTTGTACAGTAAATAAATTAAATAATTGTTATAGCCCATACATGCATTACTTTGTTTGCAAGGAAGTTCATTGTATGATAAAGGGTAGAAATTTTATTTATTTCATTTCTCTGAGTATAAACATTTGTTTTCATTACTTCTTTCATAGGAATAAGACATTCACCCCAATGCTAAATAAAACTGACTCCCATGTCTACTAAGAAGTTTTAATTTACTGAAGCCACTTTGAAAATGGAATCCTTTCTTTCTAATTATAGGTAGAATTAGATCTGTATAAGATATTTTTTCAGGGAATATATTTTCTATCATCTGTCTTGGTGATTCTTCGGGCTAGTTCAGTTGTATAATGAAAAGTGAACTTATAGAAGCTTAATGTAATTTAGATCCCTGCGGAATGATCATGACAATATACTCAGAAATGGCCTTTTTGAAACAGGAGATAGGTAGGGAAAAGATGTTTGGAACATCTTGATTTTCAAAGATGACTTATTGTGATTAAATTGAGGGAAAAAAACAATAGAAGTCCCTCCAAGGAGGTATTTTCTCATGAAGTTTCTTGCACGCAAATATGAGAATTTGAAATGCGATCAGAAAATCTCGATCAGTGACAGAGGGAAGCCCAGTGAAGCTCAATGGCTCTATCTAAATGATCACCTTAATTCAAAGTCAAACCAACATATCGTGATCTTTTTTTTTTAAATTGCCGAAATCTTGATTGCATAGACAATTTGAAAAATTGCCAGTGAAAAAAAAAGATATTTGAAAATCATTGAGACGAATCTTAACAGTGCATACATAATTGCAACATATTTGGTTCGTATCAGAATTGCATTAAGAAAATAAAAAAAATGGAGCACCATCTGTTAAAAGGTATTGATTAGGGTATAAATGATAGTATATTCCACTGTCACTTTAATTGCCTTGAAACCTTACTCGTTTTTTGTTTTGCTTCTGTAGATAATTGATGAAAAGTCAATAGTCTCAATGTTAGTTTCACTAGATCATAGAAAATAATAATTTACCCAAACCTTGTCGCTTTTATCGTTAATGATCATGAATTATGGAGATCTAAAGATCTCGGACCAAGTGCTAATCTAATTTTCACATTTTTTGTTGGGAAATGAAACCCGATACAAAATGTACCTGCTTAAATATGGTAATATGGCATCTTAAATATACCTTTTATGAATTAATGTCCCTCGCTCATGACACTTTCTAACCATCAACAACTAAAACTATGGTCTTTCTTTGTGATCTATATGATTATATGTAATTCTGGTATTATTTAGCATGTTTAAATTATTTTAAAATATAGAGGTGGTAAAAAGAAAATTTTGCTATCATGGTGAAAATTAGCGTATCAGTTACATTGATAAAGTCAGTAAATCATTTCTAAATTACTTGAAAGTCATTTTGATATTGTAAAGTTGTTTGAAAGGGGCACATATAATCATCTTGATGCAATAAAATAGGATTTCATATGCAAATATAATTTTTTTTTTTTTGAATTTATAGTTTTTGAATTTCTTCATCTTAAAATGATGAATAAGGACAAAAAAATTTAGAATTTAAAATTTTGTATTACTTCACAAAAGAGTCTACAAAATAAGCAGCAAATGAATTGGTGCATGAAATCTGTTCAGAATAACTCAATCAATGAATTCAAATGATGATGTCACTACAAAATTTTGGTAAAAGAAAAAACAGAATATTTTTCATCATTAAATCAAAATGATTATTTTATAATTTCTTTATATTGAACTGCAACTCATAGGTACTTAGAGAAAATCTTCTCTTGTCAGTGCACAAAGTTTGTGTCAAAGATTTTTTTTTTTAATATTCCTCGCCCATTTACTTTTAACTTCCTAATTAGTGGAGCCAAAAGAGTTTCTTTCACAATTGGCAGTTCCTTAAATCAGTGTCTAATTATAGGATATCTTTGCAGTGGCTGAGTGCAGAAAAATTAGCACGTTGTTTGAACTCCACGATTTTCCTTTTACACTATTGTAACAAGAACAAATTACTTTCTCTGTACTCGAGTGTTGAATCAATCGATTTGGTCAAAAGCAGGGAATGTCAAGAGTCTCCAATTAATCGCAGCTTGGTAATCATTCGATTAAATAAACAACTTTTACATCTGATCAGAACTGTTTTCGCTAATTTAAAGACTGTTAACACTTGATTTGATCTTTCTCTATTACAATTGATGAAGTGGCTTATGGTTCTCTCAAGCTTATATTTAAGTTTTGGATGTCTCGGATCCACGTAAAAAAAATTTTTTCAGATGTTGAAGATTTTTTTTTCTCACTGTTTGGAAATAATCATCACTTATGCCAAATAAATGTTTATTTGCCCCAAACAGTTCATTTTATATCCCTGGGCTTTTCAAATGAAATACAAGAAAAAGATATTTAAACAGTTCGTCATTTAGATGGTTCCCTGCTTAGATCAATGAAAGTGATTTTTGTAAGTACCTGCTAAAGCTTACAACCCACTCAGATTACTGTCAAAAGAATTTAGCGGTAATGACTTTCACCATTTTGTAAATTTAACGCCATTAAATTGTAAATCTGTCGCTTCAATTTTCCTTTCAAGATTTTCAATTAAAAACACATTTTTTTTTCTGTTGGGAGTCATTTTGACAGCTGAATAAAATCATATCAAGGAATAAAACTGTCAGATATGTCAGAAATAAATATGTTTTTCAATAAGTATTGATATTTTTCTCTTTCCCAATAATTCACCGTCTTCTTCAACATCACCAGTCCATTGTTGTTGGTGTGAAAACAGAACATTAAAAATATGTTTTCATTTATTTTCTAAATTTGAGGTTAAAGAACTTTTAAATACAATTCAAGCATTGTTAAGGTACTTCAGCATAAGTGTGTCTTTTTTTTAATTCTTTGATTAAAGAAAATCAGGATGTAGAATGCCACAAATTATATTTTATTCTCTCATTGCAGTAAAATTTTATAATTTTTCATGAACTTCTTAGCAAGTTTTTTGCAAGATATTTAAAAAAGAAAAATAAATGAAAGAGTATCTCTTTGGTATAGATTTTGAAATATATTTTGATTTTATTATTATTTCAGGACGGCAGTACATTGAGAGACAGATCACTATGCCAAAACCCCTTCTTCCTCTACCTATCTGCCACAATGCATTCAAACCCGAGCTAGATGATCCAAAGTTCTGTCCAGAAAAAATCACCAAGGAGTCCAAAACTGAAAGCAGTAATACCAGCCGGGACGATGGTTACGCCATTGACTACAGTCTGCACAAGAGGGATGGCAGCCCCTCAAGTGAGGAGATGGAGAGGAGCCGAGAGGAGAGGAACAGATCGGAGGACATGGAAATAATCCCCTCACCCACCAAATCTCCTCCCCCTAGTTACATGAGGGAGAGACTGTCTCCCATCTCTGCCTTCCAAGCTAGTTCTTTGCCGTCTGCTTTCCAACCAAAACCTGCCATGGCTCACAGCACGCCTAAAAAGTCATCAAGTGCTGTGTTTGATAGTCTTCTGATGAAAAAGATGAAGGAAAATGGCGAGGATGTTCCTGATAAAATGCTGAAGGGGGATATGTCCTCTCTGGACTTCAAATCACCCAATGAAATCAAACCACAGATCTCTCCAGCCCATGAGCCAAAAATCAAAACAGAAGAATCTAGTCCGAAGGATCTGAAAGATCGTGCACCATTTCCAGATCAGTTCAACCCTTTCAATCCATTCTTTTACAAATTCATGCAGCCAAACCCCATGATGGACAACAAAAACAATGTGCCACTGCACCCATACATGGGCCGTCCAGAGGACAACAAATTTATGTCCAAGATGCCTCCTCATTCAGGTCCACCATTGTATTTTCCTACTCCATCCATGCCTTATCTTCCAGCCATGTATCCATTTGGTCCTTACCCAGGAATGCCATGGCAGATGTTTCCTCCACCCTTCCAACAGATAGGAAACCAGCAACCCCCTATGACATTTCATCCACGTCCCATGATGCCCCAGCCAGAACAAGTCCTCAACCTCACCAAACCTAGAATGGAGGGAGGACATGGATCAAGGGGGCACAGGAGTCTACCTTACCCACTCAGAAAGAGAGATGGAAAGATGCATTATGAATGTAATGTTTGTTACAAATCTTTTGGACAGTTATCAAATTTGAAGGTACACCTTCGTACCCATACTGGGGAAAGGCCTTTTGTGTGCCAGACCTGTGGGAAAGGATTCACTCAGCTTGCTCATCTTCAGAAACACCATCTTGTCCATACCGGTGAGAAACCTCATGAATGTACTGTCTGTGGAAAGAGATTCAGCTCAACATCCAACCTCAAAACTCACATGCGCCTTCATTCAGGGGAAAAGCCATTTCATTGTAAACTTTGTCCAGCCAAATTCACTCAATTTGTCCATCTCAAACTTCATAAGAGACTGCACACAAACGAACGCCCATACGAGTGCCCACAATGTAACCGTAAATACATTAGTGCTAGTGGACTCAAAACTCACTGGAAAACTGGAAACTGCATACCAGCAGGTTTGAACATTGACTATAACACACTGTTAGAAAATACTCACCATGAAGTCATCAGCCAGGACAGGCAGGATGGCTACAACGAAACCATGGACGGTGAGAAATTTGAGAAATATGACCAAGAACTGGAGGAGGACCTCTCCAATCAGAGTCATTTAGACTCTTTTAATAACAACATGGACAGTCCTAGTGCTATGGGAAGCTTGAATCATCTAAGGTTGAACAGCTGTAGCAGTAGTGTTAATGGTAGTGATGAGGAGGGGGAGAAAAACCCTCCCTCCCCAACGTATTCTGACCCAGAGAATAGCAGCACGAGTATGTTTGGGAAACCTGTTGAATACACCATGTCTCCTTCACCCCCAAAACTGTCCTCCCCACCCCCTGTCTCAAACACTGAGCAGACTGTTTCAGCGTAATGTAACAGGATTAGTGATGATGTAGATCCTAGGTCAATTAACAATTTAATGCATAATTATTCAAGCATGTTATTTGCATAATATCAGTTAGAACATGACACGTATGTCTCTTATGAAGTAGATTTGATGACCAGACAATATTTACTTTGTCTCAGAATTACAGGGGACCACTTTTGTCAGGAAAAAAGTGAGCATTCAATTTTTATTATGAAATCCATGTTAATGACAATTTGTTTTCCCCTTTATGTAATATCATAATGCATTATTTAAACAGAGTTATGATTAATTTTGGTTTTTTTTTACTATTTATTTTTTCTTGAGTTGTGATTTTTTTATGTACATTTTTAGTGGTATGTACAGGTCAGCTTTGTACATTGTACAAACTTAAATTATTTATTTTCATGTTGCTGACTTGGCAATAACTCTCTCTGCTTCCAACTCTGTAAGAAAAATTACTTGTTTTTCTTAACTGGTGTTAAACATTTGATGATTTTTAAATTATTCTTTTTTTCTTTAAAGCTTACTTTGAAGCTGAAAAGAAGAAATGTTGGCAGCAGCTCTTTTTTTTTTTTTTTATTATTTATTTTTTTGGAGATGAAACTAATATTTTGCTGTGTGTTCTGTTTTAATACATGTATATCTTGTAATTGCTAAATGGCATGACTTCTGATTTTATTTTTTTTTCTTCAATATTTACAATTTTCAAGGCATCAATTTGCATTTATGATATCTGACAATCAACTTTAACAGTATTTCAGATGAATTACTTATCCAGTTCACTGAGCATTTTATTCCCAGTAGTGAAAAAAGAAATACTGTTAATTTAAGAGGAATTTCTATGACAAAACATTATTTCTAATGAAATGTTACCTGTTGATAAAACCGTTTTTATTCTGCTTTCAATAGGAAACAATTTGTTTATCTATTAGTATCCCTTATTGGGGATCATAATGTTAATCCAGTGTTTCAATGTTTACAGTAGGGAAAAGTCTTCAAGAGACCTATAAATTTGACAACAATGGTCTGGATTAGAAATGGCATTTGGCATCAGAGAAAATCTAGCGTCACTGATTCCAATAGAGATAAGATAATGTATTGGTAAATAAAAGCCTTTTTTCTTTAATTTTGCAAAACAATTGACAGGATTACGTCCCCTGGTAAGAGTGGTGTCCCCTGACACGCTGAATGTATCGTCCATATCATAAGTGATATTTAGAATTAATGGGGCCAGAACGGTCCGGGCTTTCTGTCAAATTAAAACAGAGCTGTCATACGTAACTTTTTAAGCATATTTGTTTAACAAATTCCAAGAGACAATTTGGGATTCAATGCAGTAGAATCACCTTACTTAGTGTGCTCACCCGTGTCAGGTAATCTGCGATCGGAGTCGTTTTGAAATTCGCCAGACAACCATCATTTCCCTTTGACTTTTTTCTCTGGTGAATTATAAGATTTCTATGCAAATTTCCCTCTGCGGCCATGCAAGGAATTAACAGTTTGACATTAGATTGAAATTAGTGAAAATCTTTATCTAGAGAGTTCGTGCCATTGTTCTTAAATGCGGCCCCATTAGTGTAACAAACGATGAAAATGGACGCATCACCTAGCAGGTCTCTTTAACAAATGATTTAGTAAAATCAAACCAAGAAATAAAATAGCAGATTGTAAAGGACTTGCATCATTTGCAGGTAACATAGCCGATTAGATCTCGAGCGCAAATTGGCAGTTGAAATTGACAAGGAGAGATAGTCGCCCGTTAGCGTAGCTCAATGGAAAGGATTGATTGTGAAAGTTTTCTGTCAACGGCTCTAACGGAAATGTTTCGTTTTCTGTTGAAATGTGTGTCAATATTTATCAATTAGGGGATATTTTACGATGGGCTTGTTTAAAGCTTCGAAACAGAAAACCCCAATATTTAGATCTAATGATAGGAGTTTCAGAGCAAAAAAGAAAGAAAAGAGAAAATTATTCTCAAATAGAATTTGTGTTGATAAAATCATCCCCATTGACCTTGTAAATAACCCACCTTTTTCGCCTTTTTTTCTAAATGGAAAAAGTGATGTCTAGATGCTTTCTCTGTTGAATTTCCAAGTGGTACGGTATTGTACTTGGTAATGCTAGCTCGTGTTACTGGATTAGTCAATTAATGCATTTATATCTTCATATCTTCTTGCATTTCTAACGTCAGAGACTTTTTAAATGGTTTTAAAAAATGAGCATTTATTGCAATTTTACGGTTGTTTGTCAGAATTTTTTTAAGGTTTTGTCTATATATCAGTATAATGATTGGGGCCTAACTTTTGTTTATGTTTGAACAATATTGACAAATAAAAATATAGAAATTAAAATAATTAAAATTTCTTTTATTTATTCGTAGAAAATAAACTGATTAATGTTGGTTTTTCCCAAAGGATGTTTTTTCAAAGCAATTTTATGATAATACTTGTTCATTGTGGTTCTCTATTCATTTAAACAAAATAGTTTGGAGATTTTATGTTTTTTTTTTCTTTTGCAACAATTTATTTATTATACTACGTGTACAAGAGGATTTCATTGTGAATGAATTGAACATAGTCCCTCTCTATGAAAGAAGAATTCCATGCATATATTGTTTTATTCCCTTCATTTTAAATGTAGTCTTTCAGAGGAGAATTTTCAAGGACATCAAACAATAGGAAAAGTATTATTTTAAAGGACAAAGAAGGTGAAAGGGTTCAGCTATATGTCTGCTAAAGATAGCTATCACAGTTTCAGTTGCAATTAAAATGCATGTTGTTGAAAGGAAGTTAAACGCCAACTGACAATATAACATATTTTGATTTATGAACTGAAGAAAATATTGGGTTAAAAGTCAAACAAGTCGCCAGTGAAAATGGTCTTATTGGTCACGTGATCGGATCTCATTTGAATATTACCAGTGTATTTGGAAGTGAGAACAAAAGAGACGCGTTGAATGTCCACTTTGCATAAAGAGGTGGGGGTTTCAAACTTCTCTTAGATAAGAAGACTGTAATATCAGCAAAAAGGACAATGCACTAATTGAAATATTCTACACGTAAAAGTTGTCCTTGTTCACACAGCTAATATTAACGTCGCCAAAGTATGCCAACTGCACTGGAATATGCTTTTTTCTTCATACATTTATGCATTGCTTTTGTTCCCTTTGAATAGGAGTATTATATCACTTTGGTCGTAAAACTTCAGAGGTTGTTAGCCCAGTATAGGTGTGCAAGGGATGTGTACCTGTTCAAATTCGGTGAAGGTCATTTCAGTAAAGCCATGGTCTAGGAATTCTAAGAAATTTAACAAAATTTATGAAGAACAGCATCAATAATCTTACAGAATCATCACTACGATGAATTTATTGTTCGAAACAATAAAATTTGTTTTAAGATTAATTTGGTTTTGTTCTGTAGCAAACCATTTTTAAAGCTTATACTTAATAGCAATTGCTATGTATAATTTTCAGTGAAAGTAACCAACCTTAGTATATTTATGAATAATGCAAATTTGATTTCAAATGTATAAGTGAAATTTTCAACAGTATTTACTTTCTTATTTTTCACTCCGCTCAAAAACATCGGCAGACGACAGTCGCCATGACTATGAACACGTGCTTTACTTTTCCGGTTGGTATTCAGATATCATTTCTTGCGGCATGGTTACTGATAGTCTTAATACGACATGGGTAGAATCACGACAACTTGCGATTGCCTGACCCCTGAAAAGACAAACCCTGACCCGGAACAATCGTTGGAAATGAGAGCTTTCCTCCCGAGCATTGTTCTTCACCACTAACGCTTCCTCAACATGGGAAAAATTGTACATTTATCCACCCCAGACCCTTATAGGACGTTTTTTCACTGAAGAATCTGGTTCAGGTTTCGGTGTAGAGACAGTGATTTCATACTGATAAATCTGTCTGATGCGATAAAATCAATTCAGTCAACTTCTCTCTGTATAATTTTGATTTTACTTAGTACATAGAAAGTATATCATGAGTAAATACATTACATCTATTTTTCTACATATATCTTTCCTTTTGTCAAGAGCAAGAGTGGCAACAGAAAGAAACATACCCCCTTTGCAAAAAATAAATAAATAAATAAATTTAAAAAAAAAAATAACAACAACCAAAAAGAACGAAAGAAAATTTATTAGTACATGTAAATCACTTCTTCTATGAATTGATCTATATAATAAATGTAATATTGTATAATGAGATTAATACAAGCTAACAAGCACGCAAGAAAGAAACTAATGAAAAATGTTTCAGTGCAGCACAAACAGAAATTAAACGCTTAAAATAACATATTTTTCTGAACCTTTAGAGATTAAATACAAGTGATAGCTTAATGACATAAAACTACACTATTTTAAAGATAAATAATTTTCAGTTTTTAACATTGGTTAAATTTTATGCTGGTTTTACTTTTTGTGATTATATATATATATATTAATTTGAAATGAGACTTAGGGACATGACGGAAAAGTCAAAACATCTTGAAATCGAATTATGTATAAGTAAAAGTCTTATTAAAGTCTTGTTAAATTTACTCCAAAATTCGTTTTAATTCAAGATGGTAGATACAATATATAGGAGGTACATGTATATACCCAACAAAGAAGAAAAAAAAAACACTCTGGAAATAAAAATGATAGAAATATGGAGGATATTCGATGTGTAAAGTTGGATAATTATGGAGTTTATTTCACTCGTAGAACAGAATTTTTATAACCCGCTTGAAAAACAGTGAGAGGGGTGTCCGTCCTTCCGTACGTCCTTCCCTACATCAGTAACATTGGGGGTACCCATCTCTTATCCGAAACTCCTCCTATACCAATGAATAGAATTTAATGAGACTTTCACAGAAGCTTTATTACGTAATGGTATTATAGACCTTTTTTTTCCCCATTTTGATCAGATATTTTGGGTTTATCATAGCAAAACGTGGACACTGCCATTCTTTCTATAATATTGGGGGGTACCCATCTCTTAACCGCCACTCCTTCTTTACCACTGAATAAGATTTAACGAAACTTTCACAGAATATTTATTACATGGTGCCATTTTACATCTCCTACTTTTCGTTCAGATTGGACAATTATTTTGCCATAGCAAACCTGGACACCGCCATTGTTTCTACAATATTGGGGGTACCAATCTCTTATCTGCAATTCCTCTTTACCAGTGAACACTAGACTCAGAAGTACTGTGAGCACTAAGCTCACAAAATGATAAACAGTGCTTCCATATGAGTATAATGGCAAGTCCAATATTTTCTATGGGAAAGTCCAAATTAT